AATTTGATTTTAAAAATAAAATAAATAACTATTTTATATAATGAAATTAATAAAATCAATTTAGAATTAAAATTAATCGTAAGTAATTTTAGAAATAAAATCAATTACTATTTTAGATAATAAAATGAATGAAATCTTTTTAAAATTGAAATTAAATAAAATGAATTTAAAATTAAAATTAATCTTAGGCAATTTTAAAAAAATCAATATAAGGAAAAAATAATTTTATAATTAATATGATATCAATATTTTAGATGCCTATTAAAAAAAATATATTATGTATTTTAATAAATTTTAAAAATAAAGTTTTAAAAATTAATAATTAATTTAATCAATAAATATAAAAACAATTTTTACCAATTTTAAAAATAAAATTAATTAAAATAAAATAATTTATAATTAATTAAATAATATTTATTAAGTTAACCAATTGATTCAATCAATTAAACCAATTCAACTGATTGAATCAGACCTAATAACCAAAACGGATCAATCACCATATCAGGCTTTAAAAAACATGGTAGTCAACAGTAATACGGGGGAAGCTTTGACTAGTTGACATGCATTTAGGGATCAACTTTCTGCAAAAGCGGAACAAAATGATTCAAAAAGAATAATTATTGGCCCATAGAAAAACGGAAAAGGTTTTTTTTTTTTTTTTAACAATCGAAATTATTAGTATCGATTAAAAAAAAAAAAAAGTAATGTCGACTACTGGCCTCTACCTGAAGAGCAAGGCACTCCCACTTTGCTTCTTAAATGAGAGGCGTGGCCACTGTACCACATAACGGTGAGCAACAGAAAAGGCTTGTGTGACGGTGTGAAGAGCGATGTAAAAAGTTTGAGGGAATGAAAATGTACTATTATTACCAGCGTCTGACACTGTGGGCCGGTGAACTCCACCAAGGTCCGATGGGCTTTCGGACCACATATCTCATTGAGAGAAGTGTGATATTCACCAAATATGAAAATCAAATTTTTAATTGCTAACAACTAATAAAATTAACCTACTAATCATTGTTTTGTCAAAAAAAAAAAAAAATACCGTGGGCCGGTGAGGGCCTAGAGCTCAGCAACCATGTGAAATGTGCCCTTGAAATCTCTAGACATCAAAGATATGACTTTAACACCAACGAGGGGTTGGATCAAGTGGTAAGCGGCTTGTTCCAGCTTAAGCAAGATCTCGAGTTCGAGATCTTGTGAATGCAGCAGTCTCCGCTGGGAGACTCACTCACCATTTCCAAGTGCGCGACGCGGGTCGGGTCCGGATTAATCAGGGTGAAGCCTCGGATACCGGGCGGGAAACCAAAAAAAAAAAAAAAAAAAAAAGATATGACTTTAACATCTATTGGTGACATAAAAAGATGATTCAATTTTTAATTTGATCTTTTAATTATTGTATAAATTTTTAATTTAATTTTTATTGATTTCAAATTTAGTCTTGAATTAGACTTTTTATTAAAGAGAATTAATGTATTTGTTATTTAATAATAAAAAATTATTATTTAATAATTATATGTTACATTAATAATAAGATATATTAATTATTTTTTATATAAAAAGACAAATTTAGAATTAAATTTAAAACAATAAAGACTAAATCAAAAATTTTTTTAATTTAAGAATTAAATTAAAAATCTATACAATAGTTAAAGGACTAAATTAAGAATTTAATCTAAAAAGATCAATAAGTGGGATAAGAACGGGTTATAAAATTTATAATAAAAAATTTAGAAATTGATAAAATTATAATTGATTGGTAAAATTTGATTATATTTTAATTTTGTTTAATTAAAAATAAATTAATTTTAAATAGTTTAAATTTTAATTATTAAATTTAAAAAATTAAAAATTAAATATTAAAATAAATATAATTAAAAAATTTAAACAAAAAAAATTTTCTATAAATTTTTTAATAATTTTTAAATTATTAAAATTTTTTGTTCACCCAATAAAGAAAAAAAGTCAAGGTAGCATACAAGTTAATTTTTTTTTTTTGGATCATTCGGTATCTGGAAATTCATTAGGTCACCGATTAATTTGGATTTGAACTGGACAAGACTTAATGACAAAACTCTTCCTTACAAGTTTTAACAAAACTGTATTTCTAAAACTTAAAACTAAGACATTTGATTAAATTAAAAGAGTCACCTATCAACTTATTTACTGCTTTAAGTAACATGCAAGTGAATGGAAAAGCTAAGACAATATTTCCAAGATGCACAACAAATGCCACTCAATTATAAATAATTATCGTCAAAAAATATCCTATCATTTTCAACAGTAAAAAGTAATGTTGGGAGAGTTGAGCTTGATTGGCAGGCATTTAAAATTCTAATACATTTCAGTTTTACCTATAAATCTATTTTTATTCTTTAAAATAATTCACCGTATTTTATTTACAATAATATTTTTCACTTAATTGCATAAATTAATATATGAGAATAGTACATATTTATTTTATTTTTAAAAAATTAAAAAAAATATTATTTTAAAATTACGTTATTTTAATAAATATTTATTAAAAAAGATAAAATTAAAAAAATTAAAATATTTTATTTTTAAAATATAAATTAAGATTTTTTTTTATCATTTTTTATAATACTTTATTAAAATGA